GGCCCCACCCGTAGCTCCATAGCCATCCCTTTGGAGTCAATCTGGCAGTGTCCTTTCCACCAATTCACATGGGTTCAAAGACAGTGACAGATCGGTCTAGATCCATGGATTATGGCTGTTCAGAGTCAGCAGGCGCACGAGGACCTATATTTTTTTCACCGAAACAGACCATCCATGGATATATGTATATATATATTATGTAATGAAGAAGTCACTTAATTCATGAAGCAGCCGGGCATCTTAAGTAGAAGCAATTAAGAAGTAATTATCATGGCAAAGTAACACAGTTCTCATCCATCAATATTTTCAAAGAAATTCAATTAACTTGACACGCAGAGGAATCGATTTTTAACTACATATTTAAAAATAAAATAAATAGCTCCCTGGAGTCTAATTCATAGATCCAAAAAATAATTAAAACGAGAGCCATTAGCCGGCCATGTTACCCATCCAAGACAGTGTTAGTGACTTAGATGAGGGTAATAATTCATTTATCGACACTGTTATTTAATAATTACCATTAATAAAACCGCGTAATAGCTATAAATATTCCAATAGCGAAATCAATCCTGAATAGGGGACATAGTGCCTGATAAGTTATAACTCGATTAGAGGCGCCGGAGCAAATTGGAACCTCGTCACTTGGAAAATATTGGCGACCATAATTGCCCATTAGGTTGCATCTTATGAATAATTCCACCCGCGCCCAGGAATATAAAGTGCATCCAGTGTAGATTTGATGAGATAGTGTGCCTCAATGTGCCTCCCCTCCATCCACACTTCTATTCTATTTCCTTTTTTTCTCCCTCTTGCAATAACTCAAGCTCGTGCTGTTTGTACGTGTTCATCTTTGCGAGAAGTTGATGTAATCGAAATGCGAACCCGCGACAGAGGAAGGCCGCGCGGCGCATACCCATAAGGTGTAAATAAGATCGAAGTCAGGTCTTCTGCTGTGGAAGATAATTACAAATCTCTGCATTGTAAGCAAATCACCTATTCGGATACTCCTTCAGATTTCTGTCGAAATTAAGAAATGGTATTCTAAATCACCTAGAAAAATGGTTCATGCATATGTAAGAATCTTTCACCCTAATGTTTCTCAAATGTGTCTCAATTGCAGTTTATGAACAATGTTATTCTGTAATTTATAGCTTCCAGCCAATTGTATAACAGGCAATAATGACGCTGGGGATTGCACCTGGGTATTATAAAGTCAAAATCGGCAAGTAATCGATTTGGTTTGTGGGGGATAGACTTTCACAGCCTCTTTTTAAAACACTAACTTCACATGATGGAGTGAACAAATTGACCTATTGTTAACAAATCATCCAATAAATTATCAATAAAGTAACCTTTAGGGCAATTCTCCTTTCGATAGTAGTCAAACTGATTATGGTTGTTTCAATTTCTTTAATGTTATACTCCACCAAACAGGCATTGTGCCCAATGACTGGTGGCCATTTATTTTCGATGTGTATATATACTAAAAAAAGAATATTAGTATCAATGAAATACAGCATGTATAATAATAATGAAATCAAACAAAAATAATAATGAAATCAAACAGAAATAATAATGAAATACAATAAAAAATGGTTTCAAAATCTTGGTAAATACAAATCATATGTTACAGTGCTACAATTCTTATATTTAAGTAGATACATATCATATATTTACTATCAGAACAGTACATATACACACTGATTTATTTTTAATGATTTTCAAAGTATATTGATCCTGTTTTTTCCTCTTACTACAAGTCAATAAGAATTGAATAAATATATTTTTGCTGAATAATAAATGAATAGTTTAAAATGTCATTCATTTTATTGGATCGAATAAATAACTTCAGAAATAATGTGAAAGGGATGATATTAGACCTCAAAAATAACCAAAACTTCTTATAGAGAATGGTCCTTTTTCATACAAAATAATCAAGTTTTATATTTTTTCAAGAATCACTTTTTTGTCGAATAGAAAGAGATTACTAAAAAATTCTCCAATTCAATTGCTAACTGAAGGTAATTGATTGATAAAAAAAAAAACTGCGAATAATTCATAAATTTAGAAAATACAGAAGTTGAGTTGCTAAAAAAAAAGCTCTTTAAAATAGCCTTCACAAAGTCAAATTATACTTGTATCTGAAATAAATGTTTATTTTATTATTCTTCATTCAGTAATCAGCTAAATCTAATAGTATTTTTTGTTTAATGCTCTCTATTCGGAAAAACATGTGCTATTTAAGAATACTTGGAGTTACATTTTCGGATTATCTGCGAGGAACTAGAGGATGGTATACTCATATATGAACTTATTCGTAGCACTTTAGATCTACTATCAGCTGTTTGAATATTTCCCACTATTTACGAAAAACTCTTTCTATTGAATTTCTGATTTTTTTCTAATTTTATTTTGTTTATGAATTATTTAATTTTATCCATGATTTATTTGATTTATTAATTTCCTTATATATATTACGTCGATAATAAAATAAATAATATTGTATAAATAAGAGAGTCAATTAACCTTTATTTGTGGATATGAACAGGTTTTGCTTGAATTATTGTGATCAAAGAGGACCAAGTGAATATTGATATGCCATTTAACAATAGCGAAGGCAATTTTTTTTTTAGTACCAAAAAAATTAAAAATGTCTAAAATACCAATTAACAAGTCCATAAACATAATTTTTTTTTATTTATTTATTTTTTATTATATTTCTTTATTTATTTTTTTAAAGGTTTATAATAAATTTATAAATTTGCAGCAAATCGGACTGTGCGAGGTTGACTTAGTTTTCTTTTATTCCGACGGTTAAGTCCTGCCATGTCCTTTTTGTTGACTTAAATCGGATGTTATGAAAATATCATTTATCGCAATCTGACAGTGACACGAAATGATGGTTCTGTCGATCATACAGAGGATAGTCATGAAGACTGAGGTAAAAGAAATGGATATGAGAGGCCAATGTTTTCAACAGCCACTCGGGGCTTTCAGCTAATGCAATGTCCTCTAAGAAGGATGCTCTTCTAGATAAGTTAAAAAAGTGCATTTCCATGTCCTAAGTTAAGTGCTAGTCCTCGTACCGGCTACCGACTTCCGCTCCTCGTACCTAGAGCACGCTAGGATTTCTTGTACACCGTAAAAGCCTCAAACGGATTTCGAGGATAGTGTTTTGCAAACTATCGTTGAGATAAAAATTAATGGTTAGTTGTAAATGGATATTAACTGGAAATTCTGTTTGTGAAACTGTTTTTTAGTTTTTTGAAAAAATATAAATTTTAATTCAATTAAGAAAAAACATTATCTTGAAGGATCCTCAGTGGATATTTTTTGTTTCTGATATTTAATTTTAGATTGTCCTAGTGCGATCTGACAACAATAAACTTTTAAATTATTTATCATAAGAATCTTATCGTCAAATGAATGAAATATTCACCAATGGAGAAACATAAAACATGGGAACTAGAGTTTAGATGTGGAAAGAGAAGAAGAAAACTGAAAGGAAAAAAGAATTGAACTAGATTTATTTTCCTGAAAATTGATCAAACAAAAGATTTGAGTACGATTTATTTGATAAACTAAAACAATGTAAACCGGCTTAAGGTAGATCAGTGTTAAAATTTCAATACTCACTAATATTGCTGATCAAAAACTTTTCGCCATAGCTTAGTGTTGTCAAACAATAATTTCTGTGAAAAATAAAGGAAATAGTGAAGATTGTGTAATGCGGGCAACAGATTTTCTTACTTTCATTCTCTATTCTCTCACTCTCCCAATTTACGAAAAGGACGATGATTAGAACGTTATAGGAAAGTTTCATCAAAATCGTTAGAGCCGTTTTCGCGATACAGTCCATAGAAAAACATGGTTTTCCTTTATTGCGCGCAAGCAGCTATTGCGCATGGAGCACCAAATTTCTGTCACAGGCATCAGTAATCAAGACTCTACAAAATATAAAAAGAAGCAACAAAATCGGTTCAGTAGTTCCCGAGACAATCTTGGCACAGACAGACCAATGGCTAAAAATGTGTTTTTCGGACTCAGGGGGCTCTGAAACGTATAGATCCGTCGAAAACCACATATCGGAAATTTGACCCGATTGCAATATTTTCCTTACCTAGTATAGGTAGGAAAGTAAAAAGGTTGGTAGATTGTGTAAGAAACCGCGATGCTGCCTCTTTTAACCCTTCTTAGACTGAGGTTATGGGAATTTAATTTTTTAATTATTATTTTCTTTAAACCACGATGTGGTCTCCTATTTCTAGTCAAGAGTAAGAAACCTACCTAGAAGTTTGGTTGTAGATGCGTTTCAAGCGTGGTGCAAGACAGTCATAAACACCAGAAATGCCTAATATGACTAGGTATCGAATATTGTACTATGTGGGAAAAAGTCGGACACTTTTCTGCAACGAAGGGCGTCCAAGTTCCCCTCGAGGTATGGAGTAATCCCATGAAGTGAACACTCGTCGTTGAATAATTTGACATTTTTAAAATAAAACACGGAAAAAAGGAAAAATATACGAACAAAAAGGAAGAAAAAACTGACGCTTCTCCGTAAAGGATTTCTTATGGAATTCTCGAGAAACTTTGAAGAAGAGTTGGGGAACTGTCTTACTGGAGTGAGTCAAACTCATATCTCAGGCATAGCATGCTCATAAACCCGTATGAGGACTTCCTTACCCTCTGATTTTATTCAGAAAATCACGTAACACAAAATTTCACATTTATTAAAACGTGTTTATGCTGTGAACTTTCTTCCACTGGTGTAATTGTCAAGACAACACGTTCACAAGTGCGACACAACATTTTTTTCTCACCTATCTATTATACATATATATCAACTATAATAAAGTATATAATAATAATAAAGTGTGTATTTAAAATCAACAATTTATAAGTTCTCTCTACTGTTATGACTTCATTGGTTTACATAGATTTTTTTTTGTTAATTAAAAAGGTTTATATCATATATACTCACTGTCGTAGAATATTAGTGTGTGCATGTAGGCATATAAGAGAGCCTCCATGTTATGGAAACCTTTAAATTAACCTTGACAGCTGAAAACTTGTTTGGAACGAAATTACATACAAACTTTAACCGAATAATCCTAAAGTTTAAAAACACTAAAGGTAAAAACAAAAATATATGATGAAAAAAATGTTTTAATAAAAACTAATTTTGGAGAATTAGACTATGTAAACGACTAGTTCTTTCACGCTTGTCTCGGAAAATTATCAATCGAAATTCTTTAGATCGATGTGGACAAAGTTCTTTAACCGCTCCAAATATACATCATGAAATTCGACCGTGTTATGCCCGGCTCCGCACACCCACAGTGGATTGACAGAACACGGACACTTCTCGAACAAGGTGACTCCGTGGGAGAAGGGTACGGTTTCATCATTGTTGCCATGAATAACGAGAACGGGAGAGGATATGTTCTCTACTTTTTCGATGTTGAGGAAACTGTCGCAGCACCAGGTCTTTTTCATTTGCGGATAGACGACCCTCAGAGCAGACAGTATTGGAGAATGGAGGACGACTGCGCCGACCTTTCTTCGAGCCGCCAGATCCACCGTTGGAACTGAACCCAGGCTCTGTCCATAGAGAATTATATTTTCTGGGCGAATGTTATAGCGCGAAATTAAGATGCGCCAAACACAATCTATGTCAGCGTACATATTCTTTTCAGAGGGTCGTCCTGTACTGACGCCGTACCCGGAGTAATCGTAGCCGAAGACGTTGCAACACACCTTGTTGCACAGGTCCAGGAAGAAAGGGTACATGAGACCGATGTCAGAGGCGTTGCCATGTGAAAACAGAATGGTGTATCGAGCCAAGGGGCAGCGCTTGACAAACATACAAGCTATACGATTTCCCCTTGATGTCCTGGCAAAGAAGCATTCTAAGTTGTCTCTATCGCAGTTGGCTATGTTGATATCACTTTCCAAAAAAGTGATCCTGTTATTTCGTGAACTATCGCTGGCGAAGACGTATGATGGTTCTGGAGGTTTGAAAGCTATCTTGGCAACAATTTTAGATGGCAGCGGTGGACAACAAACCAGACAGAATAACTCTCTCACTGAAAAACGTTCTGTGTTTTCTCTGTTGAATTTCATATTTAAGAAGAACTGTGATACACTCTAAAGGTTTTTTTTTAGTCTAAAATCATTGCTAATAAAAGGTTTTGATACTATAAAGGTTATACTACTGCTCACAGTTTATTACAATATGTGATAGGTTACGTGACTTATCAAAGAGATTATAGCTTTAATAAGATTTGAATAATAAATTAACTATCACATTCAGACAACAATTTTGCTTAGGAAACTATTTCTTGATATTGACAATAATAACAATACACCATAAAGTACCGACCCACGAGATAAATAATTTCTCTTCGAGGTAAAATTTGTTTATTTAACATTTTTTATTGTTTAAAAAACAAATTATAATCAAAAGTGTCTACCTTTAATCAAAAGTATCTAATTAGATATGTTAATCAAATATTTAAAAAAAATAATTACATACATATTTTTTTTTTAATTTATCTTATTTCATAAAATGGATATTCTATTAATTTACTCATTTTGATATCTTCGCAACTATTGGTTTTATCAGAAAGATAGACTGGACAACTTTTGTAGAAATTTAATAGTACTTTAATATTGTTCTGGACAATTTTTTCTATAACCCTAATAGTACTTCAGATATTTTCAAAAAACACTTTTTATTTTCTTTCTTAATGATACTTACGACTGTATTAAATAAATACATTAAGTAAATTTCAACATATGGATATCATGACGTGAAAACACTTGTTGAGAATCTACGCAATGGTAACACTCTAATGATATGTCTACATTAGGAGATCACGGGGCCATCTTCTTTTCAGACGCCTCGGAGGGTTATCAGGAATTGAAGAGGAAGCAAGTTTAGAAACGAGAGGGTTGGGATGAGTTTGAAGTTTATTATGGAAGGTATCTGGATTGGGCCAGATCTGAAACATAAGAAACATTAAGGTCATAATGGATGGTTTTATTTGTAACAAAGTAGAGAGCATTGAGGATTTTACGAAGGATTTTGGATTGTAAGGATTGGATACGAGAGGAACTCGATGGTTTAGTGGAGCCCCTTAGCTCAACTCCATAAGTCCAAATAGGCCTTATTATAGTCATGTATATGAGTCTTTTGTAATTAATTGGAAGTTTAGCGCGTTTGTCTAGAGTAAGTGCTGAAGTAATCGGAAACGTTGAGCGGTTTCTTGTCGTTTCAGTCTGGTACGAATATTTTCCAAAAACAAATGTCAGTTTTCACTCTTCTCCCTCTCCCCATCAAAACCCGTTGCGTGAAATCTCAATTTCATATACAAGTAATGAGGGGAAGCAGGATCAGCTGTTTGGGACTATTATGAAGAACACTCACTTCAGGTGAGTCTCTAATTTTTGGTTATTTATCAGTGCTGTTTATGTAAAAGTTGACTATTGAGTTCGCGTGTTCCATATATCAAAAGACAATTTATATAGTAACAAAATATCGGACTAGACGTCCTATTTAGTTGTACAGAGTTCTTGGGTCTTAGCGAAATCAAAAGGTCCCAATATGACATCAGGTACACTTAGGACAATGAAACCATCAACTCTAAAGCAGAAACATAAGGAGAATATAGAAGAAAATACCTAGTTAATACAGTCTTTGTAAACCTAGTTGGAAAACTGTATGGACACATCTAATTGTGGGGCTACACACTGCCCGGCTATGAAAACAGAAATGAAACCAAGAAATTTTTTAACCCACAAAAAAATAATAAGGTAAAACTGTTGCATACCATTTCAAAAGGTAAAATAATGGACTTTTTAGAAAAAATAAAAATTAATAAAATCATTATAAAAAATGACTCAAATAGGTACTTTATAGTTTGATATTATGAAGGTAGCTAGTAATGTGCAAATTACTCAAGTTGAGGATTCTGCGCTCATAAAACTAATCTCGACTAATAAAATCAAGAGATGAGGGTAGAGGTAGCCCATCTGGACAATAGTTTTATTTTCATTTTTAGTCCTCATTTGACAAGAAGGAGAGGAGAACCACCATAGGTGATTAACATTTAATAATTTATTAAGATTGGATTTTAAATTAGGTTTTATTATTATTTGCAAAAGTTTTTATTGCTTTAGTTGATTTTATTATTTTATTATTTTACCTAGCCTGGTGAAGGTCTGAAGAAGACCGAAACCGGTTGCACAAAGAGAGAAAAATGAAGAGCATACAGGAAGACAACGTCTTTTTTATTAAATTAAATTTCAGTCCCGTAACATCAAGCTTCAATTAAAGGTTTATTAACTTTAATAAGTTTCTAATTCTTATCAACGACTTAGAAGAATCAGTAAACCACATAAAATAGTTGGAATACAGAAGCTTCCAGATTTGCAAGTGCCTCAGGCAGACAAGGAGAAAATATTTGGCGTTGGCATATGCCGATACACTGATGTCGAGAAAAAATATATATTCATATGAATTTACGTGAAAATGATGAACATAATCCATCCTGTAAATGCTTTATTAATAAATTAACAAGCGAGTTACAAATAACTTTTCTTATTTTTTTTATTTTATTTCAATGAATTCAGCACCTTATTGGACACAATCAGAAATCCATATTGATTACAGTTTATCAAAATTTTCGAATCCCTCAATAGCTCCTCATATATTCCAATAAATTTACAAAGAACGGGAGGAGCTGTATTCCAACTGTTGTATGTGGTTTACTGATGCTTCTAAATCGTTGATAAGAATTAGAAAATTATTAAAGTTAATAAATTTTTCGATTTAATTTCCTCTGTTTTTAAAGTTGGACAGTGTGAGCCACACAAGTTGCTGTCTCCATTCAGGTATCCAACTAGGTTTACAGACAGGTCTTGGGGAGTTGGTCCACCGTAGCTTGAAGATCATTGGCAATAAAATATCGTTGTGGTGGAATGTTAATATTACAAACTTACATAGGCTCAGGATAGTAATTTTTTGTGGCTATTACTTCTTATTATTAATGTTATGTGATAGCAAACCTATTCGCTAATGCGGATATCGCGGGATTGAATAAGGATTAGAACTGAATACGATCTGGGATTTATAGGGAATAGGGATTTATAGGGGATAGAGGACTAAATTGAATAAGTTGTAGAATAAAATTAATCAAAAATCATTTGTAATGGGAAAAGGGCAGATCCGCTGCAACATTTTACAGATGTTAAGTTGATTTGATTGATGAAAAGTTGATCTATCGTATTTAAAATATTAAGTTATTTTTTATTCTCTTCATTCCATAAAGTGAAATAAATATTCATTCTCAACAATAAATATAGATCTTCAATCTTATGTTGACCTTGTCGTTGCGACTCTTGTGCAAATTTTCTAACATAAAATAAGATGGCATATGACCCTGATCATCCTGATCTACCTTTCATAGCAGATCTTACTTCCCCCTTACTAAATAATGCTAATCAGACGAATAGTGTTATTTTAAAATCATTATTCAATTTCGCCTAACATTACTATTAGGTCTAACCTTTGGAAATAAGCCGTTTCCTTTCTTGTAGCTTGACCAAATGGCAGTTGTTACTTGAAAGTGAGTTTAGTCAGCAATCTCATGTCAAAGGTCATTATAAAGATGTTGTCACTTGGCACTCATAACTTTTTAAAAAGGATGGAGATGGTCCGGAGTGGCTGTCATAAATCGCCTAAATAACTCCTCGCTGAACAAACCTCCTTGAAGAAGTTGGGTCGAAACGTTGGCTATTAATAAAATAGTTTTGCCACTATTTAGTCTAATTATGACCGCCACCCCGGATTATCTCCTTCCTTAATAATACAACGTTTAACTATTATGTATTCAATAACTTTCTAATGTTCATTCAATTCCAGAAGAACTCAGTTTTACAGCTAATCAACCTTTTAATCTTCATTGGTGCTCACAAATTTATTTATAGTTGGGAATAACTTTTAATATGCTAGTCAGCATGTAACATCTTGTTACATGTAAACAATACTATTTTATACACCCTTCTCAAAACGTCTATAAATAAGGAAAATTCATTCTACTTATCATAGAGGATGTTGAAGTATCCAAGCATTTCTTCAAGAAAGGCCTAAGAGGGTTCTCATAAAAGAAAAAAAAACAGCTTTAAATATAAAAAAGAGGGACATAAAAGTAAGGATAAGAACTCGGGTGGACTATCCGTTAGACTTTAGAGTCGTTTCGGAGTCCCCGGACGGACAGTAAACTAGATATGGAATCCGACGAGGTGATGTTGCGTTGGCGTAACGTGGGCGTTCTTGTAACGTTGTAATGCCGCTCCTTTGTCGGCCTCATGGGCATCTCTTCCTTCCAGAGGCATAGGCCGCCAAGAATCCAACCATATGAGGAAAATAAGGTGATCAGACGAATGAGCACCTGTCGTCGTTAAATGAAGGGGATTTGATCAATGCTTAGTGAGGTATCAATGCAGGTATACCTCAATATACATTATATCAATATATATTATAAATTCATCTTCCTTTTTCTTTTATTGAGGGGTCATGTATAAGAAATTAAATGATAATGATTACAATTGTGGGTTGATGGTTAACTGTCGTGAATAATGAAGAGAAGAATGGTTGGGGTGATCAGTCAGAAATAAGAAGGCAAATTTATTATTATTATTTATTTTTGACTTCTTATTTCTGACTGATCACCCCAACCATTCTTCTCTTCGATAACGGTTACAATATGTAATCATAAAAATTGATTTGTTAACTTTATATATTTTGTAAAGGAACAACTATCCTATTTATTAAGGCATTAATACATCAGCAACCATCATTAAAACTTTTCTGAATCCAAAATCTGAAATGATCACTAAAAATTTGGGACATCTCGCCACTACGTACTAAGAATTTAAGTCGAATTAAACACGAATTAGATGTGGAGTTTTACTATTCAAGGAGAAAATAAAAATAAAGTACATAGGTACTTCAGCATTGAAAACTTTCGTTCCCATTTTACTTTTTAGATATCAAGAAACAAAACGGGGCAGGATTGGACAAAATGTCGAATGAAATTTGGTATGTGGCAGAAAGCTGCGAGTTCAATTATGTTGGATTTGAGTTTACTGAAGATGTCTAATATGGATTGGTTCGTTTCTCTAGAATATAGTTCATAATGAAGAAATATTCAG